CTTTTTCTTTTAAACCATTAAGCAGTCTTATTTTAAATATACCTGAATGCTTTGCTCTGGGGGGTCTAGTTCTGCTTCCTGTTGTTTCTGTTGGCTCTCACTCATGGTGCCATGTTTCCTTATTTATTTTTATTAGTTGTTGTTTTTTTTAAAATATACATTTATTAATTTCAGAGAGGAAGGGACAGGGAGAGAGAGATTAGAAACATCAATGATGAGAGAGAATCATTGATTGGCTGCCTCCTGCATGCCCCCTACTGGGGATCAAGCCACAACCCAGGCATGTGATCTTGACTGGAATCGAACCCGGGACGATTCAGTCCCCATTGCTGATGCTCTATCCACTGAGCCAAACGGGCTAGGGCTATTTTTATGAGTTTTGACTATAAGCCTGCATTTTGTAGGGCTGTGTCTATGAGTTCATTGAGGTCTGAGTTGAAGGTGGGCTCCTTCTGAGAAACTTCACAGACTGAAGTTTTTAAAAAAAATATATTTTATTGATTTTTTATAGAGAGGAAGGGAGAGGGATAGAGAGTTAAAAACATCGATGAGAGAGAAAACATCGATCAGCTGCCTCCTGCACCCCCCCCACTGAGGACATGCCCGCAACCAAGGTACATGCCCTTGACTGGAATCGAACCTGGGACCCTTTGGTCCGCAGGCCGATGCTCTATCCACTGAGCCAAACTGGTCAGGGCACAGACTGAAGTTTTGAGGACCTCCCACGGTGGTATGAATTAGGGTTGAACCCTGAGGGCTGGCTTTGTCCTGGCACCTCTGGGTGCAGCTTTAGTTCTGTTTCAGTCTAACACTGAGAATATTGCCCTGTGGGGTCTCATCTTTATGCGGATGCTCCTTTGACATAACTAACCTTGGGAGTTTTGTCTTTTGTGGGCCCGGAGGCCTTGAGAGCTCAAACTCTAGGTCACTGGTACAGCAAATGCCCTCAGGGCAGGAGCCAGCTGCAGACTCCACAGACCTCATTAGATTTGACTTTTACTTAGTGTTTGGCCTCTGAAGGTTCCAGACTTTTTGGAAAACAACTTAGTGATGTATTGACGATTTTGTTTTTTAATGTTATCAGCATTTTAATTTGCTTTATTGCAGAGAGGGCCAGTCGGGACCTTCATACTGCTAGAAAGCGGTGCCTCCCTAGTCCGAGCTGGCTATGGAACGCTCAGGGTCTTAGGGCCTGCTAAAGGTTCTGTGCCCTTGTCTGCCACTCATGCGGGCGTGGGGTTCCTGTTTGAGCTACTTCCAGAATCCCATTCTGCCTGCCCTTGCCCTCTCACGCACACACAGGCAGTGAGGCAGGACCCAGTGGGCTGGGGCAATGCCCAGCATCTCCGGATGGTGGCTCCTCCACGTTGGCTCACTTGTGGTGTTCTGTCTTGATTTCCAGGCTTCTTCACGGAACAGTGGTTCTATTGCAATAAAAGGAAAGGGCCCCATGACTGAGTGTAGGGCAGGTGCCCAAGGCAGTCCTGCAATCTATTGGTGGAGCAGACCACGGGGTACACAGAGTTATGAACCCCCAGTAGCCCAAGAACGTCAGGTGGGACCTGTGGTCTCCGGGCACCAGCCCCTCCTCTAGCACCTTTTCCTCTGCCTCTTGAGTTGCATGGGTTCTGCCTGCTGATGCAGCCCCCGGGGCTGGGGCAGGTTTCCAGCAGCACCCGGTTGGTGGGGTACATGCTCCTGCCTCCACCATGAGGGGCGTCCGTGAACCCCTGTGGCTGCTGGGCCTGCCCAAGGCATGTGACCTCAGTGGGAGGGTGAGTGCTGGGTTCGGCTCAGCCACCCACTGCTCCCCACGCCTGGGGACAGGCTCCCTTCCCCTCTCCTGGAGATAAGCCTGCCAGGCTGTTGCCACTGAGGGGACACAAGGGGACGCTGTCATTGTTCGTCTGTGGGCTGAGGGCCTGCAGGGCTTCTGGGGGCATTTGTAGCATCAGTTGGAAAGGCTGTCAGAGTTGTGCAAATTGTGTCAGATTGTCTTTTTAATTTTTAAAAGAATGTGTGTCTCGCTTTGACATCTTGAAGAGCAGGCAGAATCCGACGTTGTGCTCGGTGGATTAAGTTTCATGTTCCTTTGCCCTCCGGGAGGGAGAGACAACTGATAGAACAGGGAACGGAGGCAGCGGCGGTGGCCATATCGCACATCAACCTTGCGCAAGGGCTGCGGCCTCCGCTCCGGGCCGCTGGTGCCAGGGGAGATAGGATAATGCGATTATTCTCAATTAGATTAATAAAGAATAATTAGATGTCATAAATCAAGCAATCATAGGATATTGTCATGGGAAAAATATGTAGCTAGAATTAATTAGTTTTCAAATAAAGCATTTATTTTAATTGCTTGAAATGATGGAGCCCTTAATTGCCGATGCATCATTTTGGCCTGAGCATTTGGTTGTTGTAACAACGTGACGGGTTTGTTCCCTGAACTGCTGGGGAAACAATAGAGGAGAACTTGATTTCATCACCTCAGAGCGAGCCTTGTGCTGGTGAGGTTCTGGAAACTCCTTTCTGGCCCCAGGCAGGTGGCAAGTGTGGGCTGGGCTTCAGCTGGCACAGCGTGTGTATGTGTGTGTGCATGCATGTAAGCACATGCCTGTGTGTGTCCATGAGCATGTGCATGTATATGTGTAGGTGTGTGTGTGTGAGCACCTGTGCGTGTATATGTGAGCATGAACCAGGTGGGAGTGTACATGCAGGACTGCACAGTGGGAGCCTGCAAAGGTGGCCTGTTGGACTCTGTGGCTTGGACTAAGTGGTGGGGTGCCTCCCCAACCTGAATTGGGGCTTTTCTGCTGGGTTGAGGTGCTTGAGCAGGCTCTGCATTCTTGGGTTTCTCCAAACCTGGGGCCCAGCAACCCTGTGCCGGCTGCTGACCAGCTGCTCTTATGGGGTAGGCACAGCCCAGACAAGCAGTGCTTTCTGAGGGCCCAACAGCTGTTCCTCGGAACCTGTCCACCCAGTCAGCCTGCCCAGGATAGCCCTGCAGGGTTTGCAGCCCTGGCCTGGCAGCATCTTAGGTGGCTTACCGGTCCCGTCCAGAGCAGAGGCCGTGGGTTGTGAGCAGATGAGGTTATAGGATTGGGTCCCTTTGCTCCCGGCTGGAGGCTGTTCTTGTGTTTGGGGAGAGTCCGTTGGCCTTTAGCCAAAGGTGGGGAAAATTTAGAGGGAGAGAAACAGATACACACTTGGCCATTTGTAAAGCATGTTCCCAGGGAACCCCTCCTTCTCTTTGAAACCCCGTGATCTAGTGGTAGAGTGGCCAGTCAGGGTGACTCTCTGCCCTGGGGCCAGAGGCTGGGGCCACCCCTTCCTGGGCCTGGCTCTGTAGTATCGCTCTGATCTTTTAGGATCTAGGACCCAACCCTACTTGCACTTGCTTCATGGCAGCCAGACCTCAGGGGGCCTGGGCGCCGGCAGTGGCCTACCACCGGTCTCTGTGTCCTGGTGCTCCCCACTCTCCTGCACAGTCCCTGTGGTCTCCAGGCTCTGGCTGCTGCTCACCCTCTGCTCTCGGGTGACCTAGAGTCCCCTGGGGTCCCCAGCTGCTTCAACAGTGGCATTTCTTAGGTGTTTTCCAGTCACACTGCTCTTGCTCTCTTCTGAAGCTAGACCAGAAGGAAAGGGCCTGGGATGCTTTTAAGGAGAGGAGGTGCAGGGCTTGGTGGTTGAGGGCACGGCTAAAGTGGCCTGGACCAGCGCCCACACCTCTCCTGCCTCTGCTGCCCGTGCATGTGCCCAGCTTCAGCCTGCAGCCCCTCCTCGGCCTCTGTCCTAGGCCTGGAACCCCCTCCAAGCCCTGGCATCAACCTCCTGGGCCAAGGCTTCTTCCTGGAGGAAGCCTTCCAGTCCGGTTCCTCGGGTGACCGTGGCTGCCATAGTGGTTGGGCACGTGGCCGCTTCCTGCCCTGTGTGCAGGCTGGAGGTGGGTGGGCTGGGAGCTGTCCCAGAGCCTCGCATCCTCAGCCCAGCCGGGCTTGCGGGCAGACAGATGTGTCCCCTGACAGTTGGAGCATGTCACTTCTGGTTCTGCCCCCCTGCCCCCCCCAAACACACACCTATTGAGAGCAGCCACCCCTGCACTGTTGAGTCGCTTGCTGCCTGTGGGACTGAGGTGGCATGAGAGGACACAGGCTCCCAGGGCCTCTGCAGGATTGAGTGCTGGGGGGGGGGGGCCTCAGTGGGGACACTGGGCGGATTCTCCTTGGGGTGAGTGGGCCCCACAGGCCTTAAACTCAGGACCAGTGACATGAGGAAGGGCCTCTCATCTGTGATAGCAGCCTCCTGGGTAGGGGCAAGGTGGTTCACACACCGCCCGCCTGCACACTGCTGCGCCGGCCCCTCTGCGCCTTCTGGCTGCGGGCAGGCCTGAGCCTCAGGCTCCCAGGGCCGCTCACGAAGCTGTTCCTTCCCCGGCAGTAAAGGGTGCTGCCTGCTTGAAGGATGGCAGCGGCAATGAGCAGCTGTGGGTGTTCAGGCCCGGGACCCAGCGGGCAGCATTTGCAGCGCAGACGCAGAGGAGGACGTGGTTCCTCCCCATCTTCTGGTCCTGCTCACCGTTTGGCACCCAGGGCCCTCGCGCTCACTGAATTCTCTGGGAGGGCCGGTTGGGGTGGGCTCCCTGAGAGAGAAACTGGAGTGAGGCCTGGTCAGAAGCAGGACTCAGCCAGGCCTGGAGTCCGGGCGAGGAGGACCTGCCTGGCCCAAGTGGGACGGCGCTACAGTGGCCAGTGGGAGCCAGGCAGCCAGAAGGTGTAGCTGGTGTGGACTGGAGTTCCTGGAGACCAGCGGAGGGCCCTGTGCCGGGCAAGTGTGGCTGAAAGAGGCTGTGGCCCCTGCTGTGCCCATGTTGGGACTAGGGTGGTTCCACTTGGGTGCAGAGGCCGTAGCAGATGGAAGACGGGTGGGCAGCATCCAGGGAGGCCTCCCACTGCCTTTCTGAAGGGGGAAGGTGGGTCACTCACTTGCCCTCCCTCGGTCCCCAGGTGGCTGCAGCCCCGCCCAGCATGGCGGCCCCACCAGACCCCCAGTTTGTCCTCCGGGGCACCCAGTCGGCGGTGCATGCGCTGCATTTCTGGGGAGGAGCCCAGGAGCAGGGGCACCAGCTTCTCCTCTCAGGGTGAGTAGCTGCTGCTGGCCCGTCCCCGGGGGCGAGCCCAGGGTGAAGTTTTCGGGGCCAGCAATGAGCCTGGCGCTTGCTTGGGGGTCCTGCTGAGCCGCTCAGGCTGCCTGTCACCCGGGCACACTTTTAGAGCCACTCGACATTCTGTCCCCTTGGGCCTCACCCCCTTGGGGGAGGCAGGGACACACGCCCATCCTGTTACAGGTGCCATCCAGTTTGCACTGTCAACGGCAGCCCTCCCTCCCTCTGCTGAGAGGCAGGCTCTGCCTGAGGGGCCCTCGAGGCCCCCTTGGAAGAAGAGCATGTGCCCCTTTTACCCTTAGTTCCTGTTCAGAGCGGTCACCTAAACTGAAGGCTCAGGCAGCTGGAACCCTGGCCCACCAGACGGGCCCTGGGGAGCATGCTGGGCATGGCCACCTCCTCCGCCACCTCCTCCCGACCCTGCCCTGCACTCGTCTGAACAGGTCCCTGAGTGGGCTGGTGCACATCTGGAGCCTGCAGACACGGAGGGCGATCGCCACCCTGGACGGGCACGGGGGTCAGTGTGTGATCTGGCTGCAGACACTGCCCCAGGGACAGCAGCTCCTCAGGTATGTCTCAGTGGCAGTCCCGAAGGAGCCAGCTGTGCAGCCTCCCCTAGCCGCTCAGCTGCCCCACCCCCAACAGCAGAATAGGGGGTGACCCCTGCTCTCAGCCCATCCTGAGGCAGTGTGTCTGGGGTGTGCTGGGTGCTGTCCCGGCTGGTGCTCACTAAGAAGGGCCTCATGACCATATAGGACCGCTCTGTCCATAGCCCCAGCCGCCAGTGGCTGAGCAGAGCCTGCCGGGCCTGCTGCAGCTCCCCAGTGATGGGAGCTGGGGTCCCGAGGCTGAACTCGAGGCCCCTCGTTGGAGGAGCTTCGCTTCCCTCCTGTAGGCCCTGGGTGGTTGTATCCCTGGCCATGCAGCCACCTTCCTGCAAGGTGGCGAAGACGGGTCGCCAGGGCAGCCCTCAGAGCCTGAGCCTAAGCTCACCAGGCTGGTCAGAGAGACGCTCCACAACCCGGTGTGGCCACCTCCAGGGGCACTGGGAGCACCACACACATGCCCATGTCCGGGCACTCAGGGCTGGCTAGCGAGGGCTCAGCAGGAAGTGGCAGGAGTGAGGGCAGCCTGGCGCTCCCAGTGGAGGAGAGTGGGTTTGCTGAGGCTATGGTGGGCCCAGCTGGGAGTGTCACAGGGGCCATGAGGGCCTGGAGGCTGGGCAGCGGAGTGGGGAGTGGTTCTGTTCTGGCACTGCCACCGTGGCCATGTGGAGGTGACAGACTGGGGACTGCAGGTGAGGGCTGGGCCAGGAAGCAACAGGAAGGGGCAGGTGGGTGAGACAGCAAGTTGGAAGGGACTTCCCTGCTTCCCATGGGGAGCGGGAGGGGCAGGGCACAGACCAGGAGATGTGCAGGGAGCCGGGTACCTACTTGGCTGCCAGAGCTGGCCACTGTCTTGGGCTGCACTGACGTCTGCCCCTGCTCAGGAGTTGCTGCCCCAGCCCAGGAATTTACCAAATCAAAGTGCCAGCCTCCTGGACGCTCTGCCCCTACGCTCCGGGACTGGTCTGTTCTCCTGCTCTGGGCTTCAGCCTGGACATCTGTCTGTGCGCTGTGGAGCCGGTCCCCAGAGGATGAGGCCTGCTGGCCTCCACTGGTCTACAAAGCACGGTTATGCCAGACTCCTGTGGCTCCCACCACCCTGAAGGTGACCCAGAGGTGTCCTGGAGGCTGTGGCCCTGGACGTGTGTGATTGTAGAGCCCTCACAGGGCCTCATCTCCCTGGCCAGCTGGCCTAGATGCCACTGCCCGCACTTGGTACACAGGGCCCTCACAGTCTCCACCTTTCCCTGACAATAGAGTAGGTGTCATGTCTGAATACCTCACTAAGTCACTTGTACCAGGAGCTGCCATTTACAAATGTTCCTGCAGAATTTCCAGCCGAGGTGTAGGCCCTCTGGGCCTCCTGCTCTCTAGGGCCCAGGCACCTTGGGCTGTCTTCTGGGAACCCCTGGCCGTGAGTGCTCGGGCACCTGACGCCTTGCTCTGAGGCTTCAGGCCACGGAGATCTGGGCCAACGCGGTGCGGGGTGGACAGCTGCTGGTGTAACCTGTAAGGATGGCACCTCTTCTTCCAGTCGTAATGGCCCTGCGGCAGCCCCCCTCCAGGCAGGGGCCTGCGGGGGAGGAGGTCTACAGCGCAGACCGTGCAGGTGCTCGGAATGCGCAGGTGCGTTTATGTTGCACTACAGGCTGTGCACCCAGCTGTGTTTGGAAGTCAAGTCTCTCCAAAGTGGCTCTTGAGGGAGGAAAGTGAGCTTTCATGTCGAGGAGAGTCTGGAGGACAGAAAGTGAGGAGCCAGAGGCCCCGGCCCTCGCCAGGCTGTGCAAGGGGCTCCGGGGAGCCCAGGGGCAGTTCCACAGACACCCCCAGCCCCATCTACAGGCTCGAGGACACACCTGTGCGGGTCTGTTTCCTGCCTCTTTCATTGTGAGCTGTAGCGTACTCACAGAAGAGTGCAGAGAGCGAGTTTGCAGACTGTTGTGCTATCACAGAGTGGACACCTGTGTAAGCGCCCCAGCAGGACGCGGAGCTCTGCAGCCCTGCTCCCTGCCTGTCCCCGGGAGGCAGCCCTCATGCCTCACTTGCATTTATCACCGGGACATGCACCTCCAAAAGGCGAAGACTCATTTTGTCTGATTTTTTTTTTAATATATATATATTTTTTTTTTTTATTTTTTTTTTATTTTTTTTTACAGGGAGAGAAGAGAGAGAAATATCAATGATGGGAGAGAATCATGGATCGGCTGCCTCCTGCACGTCCCCCACTGGGGATCGAGCCCACAACTTTTTTACAGAGAGGAAGGGAGAGGGATAGAGAGTTAGAAACATCGATGAGAGAGAAACATCGATCAGCTGCCTCCTGCACACCCTCTACTGGGAATGTGCCCGCAACCAAGGTACATGCCCTTGACCGGAATCGAACCTGGGACCCTTCAGTCCGCAGGCCGGCGCTCTATCCACTGAGCCAAACCGGTTAGGGCCATTTTGTCTGTTTTTGTTGTTGTTCTTAACTTTAAAAAGTGGAGTCACCCAGAGCAGCTTCCTGTGCATCTGACCTTTTCCACTCGGCTCTGTCTTTGTGGGATCCCCCAAGGCGCGTGGCTGCAGTGCACTGGGCGGCTTCTCCGGTGGTGCTGCCTGGATGTGTGCTCCCAGGTGACTTCTGTCCTACTGTGGATGGAGGTCTGAGTTGTCCACCGGGGCCTGCCGCAGGTAAAATGGAAGAAGGCTCTCGGCCAGGCCTCCTGGGGATCCCGCACCCACAGATGGAACGTTCGAGCACATTGGGCTGCTTGGGAGCACAGGCTGCACTCGTCCCAGTGCAGTGCGTGCCCCACCCCCACTGCCACCTGGGCCAAGGAGCTCGGGGTGTGGCTGTCCCTGTGTGAGGATTATCTGGGGTGACGGGCGTCAGGCCAGGACAGAATGTGTGCAGCGTTAGCAATTAGGCGGCGGGTGAAGGAGGTGTGGGAGGTCTTCCTGCTGTTCTCACAACTGATCTGTGAGTTCGAAACAAATTCAGAATAAAAAGCTACTTAAAAGCAGGCCGGTCCTTGCTTACGGCATGGCTGCCATCTTGACCGTGAGTCAGATGCCCTCCGTGTGTGAGCCTATCTGTCTGGCATTAGGCGCTGGCTCGTCTTGTGTTAAGGACACTGCCACGTCTGTCTCCCTCAGTGTCAGCCCGTCCTTCAGAGTGCCGCGTGATTCTTAGTCCTCCAGATGCCCAGGCGTTTGAACAGCAGTCTGGACACAGACTCCTGTGGCCGCCAGGGCTCCCCAGCCGATGATCTGGCGGTAGCCGAGGTCCCCTCTGGCAAGGCCGCTGCCTTCCTTCAGCCTCCGGTTGGCCACAGCACGCCGGCATTTGTCCAGGTGGGACGTGCAGACCGCTCACCTGGGAGGCTCACGGCCTGTCTCTCCTTGGTTTTGGCAGTCAGGGCCGAGACCTGAAGCTGTGCCTGTGGGACCTGGCGGAGGGCAGAAACGCCGTCGTGGACTCCGTGGGCCTGGAGAGCGTGGGCTTCTGCAGGGGCTCCATCCTGGCCCGGGGTCAGCAGCGCTGGATGCTGGCTGTGCCTGGGGGAGGCAGCGACGAGGTGAGCACCAGCCTGCCCAGCCCCTTGTCCACGAGTCACTGGAGACTCAGTTTCCCTACATGGGCATGGGCATGGGCATCCTTAGCATTGGGTTGCAGGAACACTGCTCTCCACAGGACCGGGGGAGCTGTGGGAAGTCTGGGTCTGTCTGCTGAGTACAGCTCCAGGGGCCTCAGGATGGGCCTTCGTCTGGTCACCTGTGAGATGTTCCTGGTGGTGAAAGTCAGGAAGGAGGCCCACAGGGGTGACTGGTGTCTCTGGGAGGACCAGGCACCCAGCACGCTGCAGATGGACGAGTGGCAAGGCCTGAGGCCATCAGGAGTTCTGGGGAGACACCCAGACAGGTCCTCAGCGGACTTAGGAGCAGGCATGTGTGCAGGGAAGTCCCCAGCAGACCAGCAGGAGGTGGTGGAAGGCAGACCAAGGCCCTGGTGAAGTTGCAGTGGGCCTGGGAGCCAGGGCAGCAGGGGAGGGGCAGCCTTTTGGGGAGCAGAACCAGGCCCTGGCGTGAGAGGCCTCGGGTAGGGTTGGGTCTGGGGGTAAGGGCTGGCACTGGGTGGTGATTGCAGTGTGGAGGGACACAGGTGATTAGGGGAGCGTCAGAGGATGGGGCTGGAGGGTGGGGTGGGTGTGACAGAGCCTCAGAGGTCACTGTCAGATGGCGCTCATGCCAGAGCGGCCAGCAGTGGTTGGTGGTGGCAAGGACTGCTCGGGCTGCACAGTGGTGTCCACAGCCCGGGGACAGAAGAGGCAGAATCCCCCACGGGAAGCAGCGCCCAGCACGTGGGGCAGATATCGGGAAGCCTGGGAGAGGAGGAGGGTGTGGCTGTGAGGGAGCTGAAGGGAAATGGGGAAGAAACCACAAGTGGTGATTGGATGGGGGAGAGGTGGGGTCCCGCCTCGGGTGGAGCGGGTGGCGGGGAGGGAGTGGGAGCCTCTGCCTGCCGCCCACTCCCGTGTTCTCCCAGGGAGTCTGCTCGGCTGGCAGCGCTGGGCCGGGACCTGCGGCCTGTGCACACGGGAGGCTTGGCCCCCGCCCAAGAAGAGCCGTTTGTCTTCAAGCAGGTTCAGTTCATAAATAATGAGATAGGAACAGGCATTTATTTGTTCATGATGGCATTTAAATCACCAATTAGAGCTACATGCACTTTTCTTGCCAATTTGCCAAAAACCTGTTAAAAGTTTTATTAATGTGAAAAGAGAGAGGTGTGTTTCCTTCGGGAGGGCAGGAGCCGGGCAGCCAGCCTTCCCCCTGCACGCAGAGACGGCCCAGGGCCGAGCCAGCTCCCGCCGGGGCCAGGGTGCTGTGTGCTGGCTTCCACCTCCACCACCCCGGGACTTCTGGCTGCTCTCGTCCCTCCTCCTGCCCTCACCCTCCACCCCCCACCCTCCTCTCCCGGGCCTGGTCCCTAAGACCACTCGTGCCTTCTGCTTGAGGCTGTTTGAACCCACCTCCTGGCTCCCAGCTCTGGCAGCATCTGTGTTTTTCAGGAGCAGCCAGTCCAGGGACCTGGAACATCCTGGGAAAATAGTTATTTTCCATGTTCCCACCTGGAATCTGCCTGGACGAGGCCCTGGAAAAGCATCGCTGGCCTGTGCCCAGACAATGCCGGGGGCGGACGTGCTCCTGCCCCACTTGGCCGTCTGGGTGGCCACACTTGCTCAAACCAACATTTTTCCTTCTGGAAATAAAAGGTGCGGTTGAGTGCCAGATGGAAAGCACTCCAGTGTCTGCAGGAGGCTCTGGGCACAGGCCACGGGGCTGCCCTGGTCCTTGGGCCACGGCTCCTTGCTCTCCTTTCCCCGCGCTGCCTCCCACGGCGCCCCGCTCAGGCCTCGGGGCTGCCACGTTTCCCCCTGAGCCCCTCCCCTCCTGACCAGAGCAGACTTGCTGGGTGACTCCCGAGCCCAAAGACCAGGATGGGCCATCCCTCACTGACCGTGGACCTGTGTGCCCGGCCATGCAAGGTGTGGACCTGTGCAGACCATGTCGAGCGACATCTGCTCCCTCCGACATCCCTCTCCCTGTGGCTGCTCCTCCCCCTCCAGCCACTCAGCATCTTGAAACCAGCCTGTCCTCCTGATATGGTGACAAAAGGAACAACTCTCTTTTTAAGAAATCTGAATAATTCAGGAAATAGAACAGTGTCCAGAGTAGGAAATCACGTGCCCTGCCCCCAGCAGCGTGGTCAGTGTCTCTCCAGGCCACGCCTCACCGCGCAGTGTGGGCCAGCTCACCGGGACGCTGAAGCAGCCAAGGGGGCCCTGCCATTCGGCCACAGCCTGCGGCTTTGCACTGTGCGGTGTTGGGTGCGCAAGGCGTGGGGATGGAGCAGAGCATCTCTCGCCGCCCTGGGTGAGCCATCCTGGCCCGGTGCTCTGTTGCCGGTGATGAGCCTGTCCCTGAGTTGGTATCACTCACTACAGAGACAGAAGGGCTGCAAGAGCCCTCTCTCCTTTCTCCGCGGTTTTCTTTTTACTTCGGGCTCACACACTGGGTCTTGGTTGTCACTCATCGTCTTTCTTATATTTCTTTTCATTTTGCTAGAGCTCCTCCTCGGGCATCTTGGCTGCTCCAGGGTCCTCTTTCTGGCCACCCTTTATTTCATGACCGTAACACAGTTCATGTCACTTCTGTTCTTTTCTGTCTCCTTCGTGGGCAGTGAGGGCCGATCCACCTGGTGTAGAGCCTGTGTGTCTGCGTGTGTGAGTGTGTGTGCGCTCGCGTGTTCACATCCAGCAGGGGCCCCAGGACTCACCCTTCCTACCAGTGCTGGGGCGAGGACGCTTTGCAGGCTTCCATTGAGAGCCCTGCCCAGAGCACACCCACAGCCCCAGCTTGTGGATGTGCCGCCCAAGCATAGAGGCAGGCGTGGGGCGCATTGCAGGGCCTCGAAGCTGAGAGGACCAGGCCACGACACCCTCGGGCATGGCACCAGCGCACGTGTGGCAGAACTGGAACTCAGACTCGGGACTTAACTCTGGGGCCTGGACCCTTCTCCTGTGCGTGTTAGCGAGAGCTCAGCCATGCTTGCACAACTCGAGTTCACCCTGGTTCTCCCCGCTAGCGGTTCTGTGTTCTGGGCATCAGACAGTAGGCCAGCTGTCCCCTCAGCGTCCTCGACTCCTCTGAACTCACACTCCTGTCTGCAAACCAGAGCATGCCTCTGTGTGGGCGGGGCATGATGTGCGGCTCCACAGTGGCTGCCCATTGTTGCTGTGGTGTTGGTGGAGCTGCTCTCACCAGGGCATGGGGAGCTAAGGGCTGGCTGAACCCCCCAAGCATGGAGCAGTGGCCCTGCAGGAGTGGCACCCTAATCCCTGCTTGGCAGATGAGGAGCCGAGGCATGAGGGGTGCAGATGTCTGGGAGCCCAGTTCCAGTCTATGGGGCTCCAGCTCCTGAGCCTGCTCCTTTGGCTTTGGCTGTCCCCTGCCAACAATGCGGGACAGAGCCTGGCCCAACTCAGTGGACAAGCCCGAGTCTGAGCTGTCTAGGTGACACAAAATACAGCCACGACACCCAGGGTCGAGGCACGGGCACTGAGCCAGGCTCTACACAGAACTTCCCCTGGTGCACGTCGTGGTTATTTCCTAGGCTGGGTGGCGGGTCCCCAAGTGGTCCCTGCGCAAGTCTGTACCATCAGATATGCTGAGAGTGCAGAGTCATTCCCGTAAAACCCACAGCAGGAAAGGGAAGCAGGCAGAGGCCAGGAGAGTGGCCGCCCCAAGCAGTGCTGGGTGAGCCAGGCCTCCTGCTCAGCGAGGAGGTAAAGCTGGGGAGAGGCCGGAGGCTGCCCTGGGTAGAATGCTACTCGAGGGACGTGCCCACGGTCGCTCAGGAATGATGCCACGCACGTTGTTTCACAAGGCTCGTACGTACCACTCAAGCCCATGAGCCTGTGCAGCCTAATTAGGCTGGGCTCCCAGGTTCCTACTGGGAGCAGACAGAAACTCGCAGCAGCCTTAGCTAATCGCCTTAAAAGTCTCTTGTTTGTATAGAACAGACTCGACTTGGCGCCGGCCCAAATCAACTTGTTTTCTTACTGTCAGATTCAGATTCTGGAGATGCCATCCAAGACGTCAGTGTGCACCCTGAAGCCAGAGGCAGATGCCAAGCCAGGCATGCCCATGTGCCTGGAGCTGTGGCAGGTAAGGCCCAGTGCACGCCAGCCACGCCCTGTCAGCCACGCCTGCCGGGCCGTGAATCATGCCCCATTCAGGATTCGGTTTGTCGTCAAACCAACAGGGCAATTAGCCCCTCGGGAGAACCTGTGCACGCCGCTTCCACCACAGCCTCCGTCCCCGACAGCCCCTGCCGCCCTCCTGCTGCTTCGAGGGATGCCCCTGCAAACTGCCACAGGGCTTCTGCTCTCCTCTGCAGGCTGGGCTGCGGGTAGGGGGCACCCCCTGCCAGTGTAGTGAGGGGGGACAGCTGGGTCAGCTGAGCTGGCCCCCTCCCAGGGTGGGTCTCCTTTTCTCTCTCCCCACCCTCCCCTCCCCTCTCCGGGGCCTGCCCACCTTCACCAGAGGCCCTGGCTTTCCTTGAGGCACAGTCCCCCAAAGGTCAGAGGTCAACACTGGCTCCCAGTAGGCATACCCATGCCTTGGGTCACTCGTGTTTGGCCCAGCAAAGCAAATGGTTGGTGTGTTCACTTAGAAGGAATCCCGGGTAGCATCTTGGTCGTTGCAGAGACTGTGGGAAGCAGGTCACTGAGCAGTGTCCATCTCAGGAGTGCTGCTCAGGCCATTTTCTCAGCTGTTTTCAGTTCACCAGCACCTTCTGAGGGCCCCCCGCGTGCCTCAATGCCTGTTTGGACTCTTCCTGAGAGTTAGACCGATGGGCTCAGGCAGCTTGGAGATGATTGCGTGACCAATAGGATTCATGGGATAAGCATCCCCAGAGACCTTGCCCCAAGCCGTTTGCCCCTCTCAGGACCAGAAAGATTCCCTGGCCTTTCTAGCAGTTGGTTTCTTCCAGTAGTTTCTTAACCGATGACTTTCCAGTTGGAATTCCGGATCCTGGGTAAGGAGGTGAGGCTCCAAGGCTCGCTCGTCTGGGTGACAAAGCTCCTGGCGCCAGCAGGTTCGTGGCAGACGCTTGGTGGGAAATACCCCCGAGGCCATGATGCTGCGGGGCGTGGTGTGGCGCTCACAGGCCCCGGGCAGGGCGTCAGGGGCTACATCCGCTCACACTCCACTCCCTGGAAATGCTGTCATTGCGTAATCATGTAAAAATTCCAGCAGAAAAATGTGTAGAAATGGGATGTACAAACTTGTTAAGGTAATTAATATAGTTGACAGAAGGACAAATCACGTTTTTGTTAGTTGATATGGATCCAACACAAAAGAAAACTCTATGTTCATCTTAAACGTCCCTTTTTCTCTCCAAACCTGAAGGCCCAGGCTCCAGTTTATTGTCTGAGTGTGGCAGCATGGCCTGAAGTGGCGTTTTTCTCTGAAGTTTTCAGATGTAGTCTCGATTTGTTCCTCAAGGAGGCTGACCTGCGTTGCTATGGTGATTATCACGTAAAATGTCAGAATCAGAATCAAGCCTCATGCAGAGTTATTCACACCAGCCTTCAGAGCAATGGGCCCCACCCAAGCTGGGGGCTCCCCACAGGACCTCGAGGTGCCATGGACAGGGCCTGCCTGCTGGGGTCCCTCCGGGCCAGGGGTCACGGAGCAAATCCTCACAGTAACTTCAGGTCCTCAGCCCAGGGAGGTCAGCTTGGCACTGTGGGCGTGTCCTCCCGGCAGTCTGTCACTGGGGGGCCCACAGGAGCCCTGCATGCTGGGAAAGAAGCTGGAGAGGCCTGCAGGGCAGGTGGGGAGTAGAGGCTGGAGCTCAGCATTTGGTCCCCTTGGCAACGGCTGGGTGAGCCCCTGCAGGCCAGTCTGCCTGCTCTGGCTGCCCTGTCAGTGGTCTGTAGCCCCTGAACTAGTTGAGGTGCTCAGAACCCAGAGGCACAGGTGACCCTGGAGGCAGCCTCGCTGACCAGCCCCCCTTTCTCACCGTTGACCATCAGGGCTGAAGGCCAGGCCGGGTCAGAGCTGGAGGGGATGTGCTCTGATTTCTCACACTCAAGTGGGGCCAAGCCCAGGCCATTCGGTGGGGGCTGCTGAGACAAGTGAAGAGACAAGGCATCGGCCAGAGTGTCCTCTGTCCCGGAAGCCACCTGGGCACCTGTCCTGGAGGCGTTTCCTGTTGGTAGTGTCTGGGGACTGGGCACCAAGCCTGGTGTGCCACTCGCGGTGCCAGGGTGACTTGGAGTTCTGCAGTGCTCTCTGGAGCTGATGCAGAGGCGAGATAAACGAGGCGTCTGCCCAGGGCGCGGGCCCTCTGACCTGTGCCCTCATTTATCACAATAGCTCAGCGCCGCCGCGGCTCACCCAGCCTCGGGATTGGGGGGGGCTTCCGCAGCGACGTTGACAAAGCACAGAAAGTTCATTTTTCATTGACAAAGAGCTCACAATTTTCTTTGGTTGGTGGTTGTAGACAGGTGACTGGCTCCGCCCAGGGGTTGTTGGGAGTCTCAGGCCTGTGGAAAGGACCCTGTGATCCTGGCAGGACCCGGCTGGCGAACAGCGGCACGGCAGTGTTAGGTGGGGGCGTGCTAAGCTCCGTGCCCTCCTGTCCCAGTCCCTGGGGTGCCTCAACACCAGCCCGCGCAGGTCCTGTACCAGTGGTATCAGCCATCAGGGTGTGTGGAACCTCCACACTGTCACTGCCGTGTGAAGACCACGGGAAACAGCTCCTGGCTGGGCCACCCCCAGGCCAGCAGGAGAGACAGCTCATTTCTAGAGTCCCTTGTCCCCAAAGACGCACCAGGACCCCTCAGGAGCTGACTGCTGTTCTGTTCCCCGCAGACTGACTCCAGCCCCCGCCCGTGCCTCCTGGCTGGCTATGAGGATGGATCGGTGGCCCTGTGGGATGTCTCCGAGCGGAAGGTGTGCAGCCGAATCGCCTGCCACACAGAGCCCGTCATGGGCCTTGACTTTGACTCCCAGAAGGCCAGGGGCGTCTCAGGCTCCGCGGAGAAGGCGCTGGCTGTCTGGAGCCTGGATGAGCAGCAGGCCCTGCAGGTCAGTGCGCCAGACCCGAGGTGTCATTTATCCTGCTCTGCACTAACAGTCTGATAGGCTGAAACAATATTTAGGCATGAAGAGGAGTTGTTGCAGATCGCTGGCTAATTAATCACTCCGAGGCGGGGTGCAGGCGGGCCTGTCTGTGGGGCCCGCGCAGGAAGAAGGGGGCGTGGGCGTTTGTGAACCGTTCACATGGTTTGGGTTTCTCTCAGACCCTGGGTTAATAGCAGTCACGTCTTGTCCATCTAGAGAAAAGGCATGTAGAGTCCAGGAGTAAGTACGCCAGCCCATTTGCAAAAACTCAGAGGAATTTGGTCAGCAAGGAACTGATTAATCAAAAAACAAAAATAGCCCAATGTGGAGAAATCCACGGAGTCACGCCCGGGTGGCGGTCTGCAAGCTGGCCCCAGGGAGGCCGTTCCTCACGGGCAGCGGGGAGGGGATGTGAGGCCTCAGGGTGGAGTGGGGCGTTGCTGAAAGCCTCCCCCTAACGTCCCAGTGACCCTCACAACGTCCAGTGGACTTTGCCATCCAGCCGGCCTCGCGGAGCACCTGGGGGCCCCGTCTGGGCTGTGCCTGGTGCTCCGCACGGGTTGGCCTAGCCTACTTCTCAGCCCTGTTTGGGATGGGAGGGATGGAGTTTGGGGGTGGGAGTCCTCCTACCCAGGCCTCACTCTGGTGCAGGTCCCAGGAGCTGCAGGCCATGGGGGAGGAGATGCTGCTGGGTGTGTCCTATACGTCCTGGCCCCCAGAGGGTCACCTAGGTGCACACTGGCTTCTGGGGGTGGGCGAGGAGCCCCCATTAGCCAGGGAGTCTGAACCCATGTCTGGGGGGAGCAGGACTCCAGGTGGTTCCAGTAGCAGCAGCAGCCCAGCTCCTGACCTCACTGGGTTTCATCACTGGCTGCTGCAGGGCAGGTCCTGGGCTGTCTCGGCAAGGCTGTGGTCCAGCTTCCCGCCAGAGATGGGAGGGCAGAGAAGAGGTGTCTATCAGGGCCCCTCTCCAGGTGGGGAGCCTTGCCCAGCAGCCTACCAAGCCTGCCTTATAGTTGCCCAGACCGGACCCCCACAGCAAGGGGAAGAGGCACCCTTGGGCCCCTCAGACACATGGGTGGGGTGGGGAAGGGATGGGCCCCAGGTGAAAATCAGAACATACTGTGACACCCAGCAGGCGTCACCACGCCCTGGCTGTAACCTGGGGGTGTGACATTGTCACCAGGTCACCCCAAGAGGACAGAGAGAGGACAGCCAGGATAGGAGGGGGTGTCCAAGAGAGCAGTGATGCAAAAGTCTGAGGATAGACACTGAGGTCCGGTAGAGTGAGACTGGGAGGTGCCCTCCCATGCTACAGCTGAAGGGGCCACTGGCATCCCAGAAGGAATAGTCCTGCTGGAGAACCAAGGTTAGAACCAGAGCAGGTGGTGGGTGGCAGCAGGGGTAGGACCATGCCAACTGCCCAGGTGTGAGGCTGCCCCGTGACTCTGCAGGTGGGGTCTGAGGGTCTGTCTCGAGCCCTGTGAGTCATGCGGAGCAGCGGTCGGAGCCCAGCAAGACAGGAGAAGGAGGGGTCACATGTCATGTTTGGGGACAGGTCACATGTTCACACTTCCTTGGCATCACCCTTCCCAATGTCCAACCATCCCTCCATCCTTCTGTCATCCCAGGGAGCCACAAGGCCCTGAAGGAAGGGGGTCAGACAGGCCTCCCAGTGGGGCCAGGCCAGGCAGTGGGGGCTGAGCTTCGAGTGCCTTCATCCTGGAGAAGGGCCCTTGTGGACCTGCCGGGGGTGGGAGTGTCCCAGTGGGGCCAGGCCAGGCAGTGGGGGCTGAGCTTGTGGACCTGCCGGGGGTGGGAGTAAAGGTCATAACAATGGCGGCCGTCTTCAGAAGGAAGCGGAGCCACTCCGGTGCTCCATCTCCACGCGCTGGGTCCTCAGCAGTTGAGTCAGCCTTGCTGAGGACTGAGCCCTCCCCACCTCCATGGGCAGCAGGGTTCTCCCTCACACCCTCCCCTCCGGCTCCTCAAGCCTGTAGAGACCCACTCACTGTGGAGTCCAGTGCTCCACCCCACTGCGCCTTGAACTTCATCAGCCTGACTTCTCCAAGAGCTGACCACTCAGGCAGCTTCCCTGAGGACCCTGCCCAGGCTGCAGCGCTCCCAGGTCCCGGGTCCCGGGAACGGGCCCTCCTGGCTCAGATCTGCCCGGTCTCTCCTGGCTCCCTCGAGAAACAGCTGCTGGAACTTAAGACTTAAATTTATGGGGCATGTTGCAGTCCAGAGATGAACTTTTACTGTACTGATGAATTGAAAAGTTAAAGCAGAGGGCATTATTAATGAATTGGAAAGTTCCAGCAGACGGTGAGCAGGCTCGGCAGGATGGCTGTCGTTGGCGTGATGGCGGTGCCTGGGCCGGGGCCTCGCTCAGCCGGAGAGGGCTCCTCCCGCTGAGCACGCCACAGCACCCAAGGACAGCTGGGCATCACCTTCAAAGTTGGTTCGGCCCAGAGGCCCTGGAGACTTCGGGGCTGGGCAGCGCAGGCCTCTGAGGAGGAAGCATCTGGGGGCCCCAGGCCCTCGTCATCCACAGGCGTCCTTGCCCCAGGGCCCTTGGGGCGCTGTGCCCGGCCCTGCCACGTGGGCACAGATGTGCCTCACCTTTCGGCCTGCTGCTGAAGACTCTAATGAGCCCAAATCAATCTCTCCCAGGCGGGCGCTGGGCGCGGAGACGCAGATGAGGTTTCCCGCAGCAGAGCGTGGGTAATGGGAACCAGATGGCGGCCGCGCCGCGTGCACATTCCTGGCACCTGAGGTCATGCGCTGCGAGAGCCACTGGTGGCCAGGGATCCTCCCCGGAGGGGCCTGGTCCAGGACAGGTTTGGCCAGGGCTGGGGTAGTGGCCAGGAGTCCTCAGTCACCTGCATCAGGATGCTGCAGCCTTGAGGACGCGCTGTGACGCCAGGCTGCTCACCTGCCTTCCCAAGGTGGCTTTCCAGGGCGCCACCAGGAGCTCGGGCCTCTGTCGTCAGACACAGGTGGTGCACAGACCTGCTCCTTCTTCCCACACTTGGGGCAGGGCCCACGGCCTTGAAGCAGGGGCTGATTTACGGCCAGCAATATTTTTAGGCCTTTAAATAATAATGAGGCCCCCCCAACCCCAACCAGCCAGGACTGGGAAGCAGACTAACCGCACTCCCCCCTCACTGTGCCTGAGGCTGGCCAGGTGTCCCTGCTGCGTGGCCACTGCCCTCCCTCTCCTCGGCCCTGCGGGGGCTTCCCTCCGAAGTGTTGGCAGCAGGGCATGTGGGGCAGGTTCGGGGCGCCCACAGGACCCTGACGGAGCATGTTCCTCCTGACTTTATAACTGGAGAAAAGAGCCGTGGCACCCCCCGGCCGGTTGTACGCGTCTCAGGAACACGGTGGGAGGGGGCTCTGGCCATGTTCACCGTGAACACCCGACAGGACTCCTCTTCCTGAGAACACACCCAGCACGGGGACAGCCTCTCCCCGTGTAGGTCCCCATGAAACTTCATTGCCTCTTCTCACGCCACGGGGAGCTGTGAGCCGCCAGCCTTGGCCTCGCTGCTGCTGCTGCTGCTGCTGCTGCTGCTGCACTTCCAGGAGGAGCTGCGAGGGTGGCAGGTGGGGAGTCTCATAGCTGACCCCTGGGCAGCACTGGGTACCTCAGCCCCTGCCAGGTGGCAATGCTGCCGTGGGGGTGTGAGAATACTGGTGGCTTGGGGGCGAAGTTCACAGGAGAGAAGGGTGGGGGACAGTGGCGGTCAGCCTCTCGGGCCTGTTCCAGCTGCCAGCTCTCTGTCCAGGCGACTCAGGAGGGGCTCGGGCAGATACGCCTCCACACGTGGGCGCACGCGTGGAATTGTCTTCTCACCCGCGCAGTGGCACCCACCTCCATGGCCCTGCTCCAGCGCGTGCCCATCTTGGCAGCCTGTGTGTGGAGCCGGGAGTGCAGGACATGCTGAGTGGAAGCAGGAACCACCGAAGGCGTCCTGGCCGAGCCGCTGGTGGGACGGGAGAGCCGCATTGGCTGCGTGGCTTGCAACTTTTCATTATCGGGTTAGGTCCTCTTCCACTCCTGGTGGGGAGGAGATCTGATCATGAGGCCTTGTTGGGCCATCAGACTCATGGCTTTTCTTCTCAAATCTGATGACTTAGTGAATTCTGTTGTTCGGTTTCTGGTAACATTGCAACAATTGCACAGTGCTAAGTAACCCGCTACTTAGCATGTCCTCTGGGGGGCTCGGTTGGAGTTGTTCAGGGCCGTCTGTCAGTAGACTGAGCTGTGCCCCCTCTTCTGTCTCCTCACGCTGCTGATTGTATCCGGGTGTCAGGAGCCCAGAACCGGGAGGCAGGCATCCCCTCCTCTACTGATCTCTGGACACGTCGACACGGGCCTGTTTCTGGAGTGGCTGTGGGTCAGTCCTTGCCTGTTCCGGGGGCAGGCGTGTTCTCTGTAGGGAAGGTCTAATTTTCTTCTTGGACTAACTTAGGTGTTTTGATTTTTGGGGTTAGTTTTATTTTCCTATAGGCATAAAAATCCTCAATTATTTTCGTATTGACTTTTTCTTAGGCGTTGGTAAGGACCGTGTACATTTCTGCTGTATTTGCAGGAATGTCCCTTTATCATTCCTGATCAGCCTTGTCTTTGTTGATCTTTCTTTTTCTGTTCCAGCATTTCTGCTCAGCTCTTCCCCTGCCTCCCTCCCGTGCTCTCTGGGCTCGCGCTGTGGCTGACTTGAGCTGGGTGCATGACGCATTCGTTCCCGGCCTTTTCTCAAAGCAGCTGAAGTCTGCGTCCCACATTGTACGATGTCGCCGTCTTCATCACCACTCACTCTGGGCGGACCTGATTTTTATTTGTTCTCTGACTGCTGAGCTGATTAGAGTGTTTTTATGTTTCCAAATGTTTGATTTTTTTCCCCCACTTATTTTTTATTTTTCATTTTCTAGTTTAATTCCATTGTGGTCGGAGAAGAAGG